CTCACTAGCTCTAACAATATGATTACTAGGCCTTCCATGTTTGGTTTGAAAGTACTGTAATGCAGGGATCACATTTTATTTGAAAGTTGTTTGTTTGTGACATGTACATCTAATATTTGTGCACTTTATGGATTTGTCCCACATGGTGTTAAAACAGTAGCCGAGCACAAATACAACTAATTTTTGTGTGCTTTGTATAGTTTACATACATACACACTGAGACACATAGTGCACATACTCACACCTACTTTCAACGTGAACTCTCACACTCACAAAGTTTGGTGCCCTGTGGTTTATTTGACTGTAGGTGATTGATTTCCATGTTTTCTGTGACTGAGCAGCTTTAAAATTTTCTGCATAATCTAATCACTGTCACACGCGCACACACACACACACTCACACACACAGTCAGGTGGGATCCACTTCTATGAGGGACCCGCGGACCATCAAGGGTATGTTGGATTTGTAGGGTTTCTGTTTGACAGAGCGTGGCGTAAACACAACACTGACAGCATTCTTAACCTGATGAGTTAATCTCCTGTATACGGGTTTGCGGTTTTGAATGAGTGTTCTGCTGAGAAGTGTTCACAAACAAATTTGTAGGCACCCTTATCAGATTTGTAAAATGTGGCCACAGGCATGCTGGCTAGAAATGTTTATGCTCCTGACAAGTCAGAACTGCCTTGTGTACACAGACAGGCTGAAGCTTGTGAAAGTGTGTCAACAGCTCCAAAGATGTGTGTGTGTGCGTGTGCCTGCATTGAAACACTTCATATTTGCATCTGTAAAAAGGTTAGACTATAAGAAAGAAAAAGTGTTTTATTTACATAGTTTATTGTATGATTTAATGCATGTTCACACAAAGTAATTTTGAGTGTGTGTGCTCAGCAGAGAGACGTTGTTTATTTTGAGATTTTCCGTTTACAAAAACAGCTGTGATAAGAAACTAGTCCAGTCTCCGCAAAGCTCTCTCTCTGTTTCTGTGTGCTCTCTTTGCACATGTCCTATGCTTTTTGTCAGAGAGCAAAACCTGGAGCCCAAATGGTCATCTGAGGTGGCTGTGTTTTGCTTCACAAGTTGCTTAAAGTAGACAATGGTGAATTTCTCCGACAGGGAAAGTAGCGTGAGAAGATTAGCCACATTGGTCTAATAGAGACGATTAGGCCTCTTAAGCCTGGAACTGTATGTTCAAATCCCCTCTCAGCTGAGATACAACAAGATAATAAGCTTCATAGCAGGTATAAGTACTTCAGCTGGTAAAAAAAAACATCAGAACATGCTATCAACACATAATTTGGAAGAAATATAAACCACGCTTAAAGTACAAGAACTCTGTCATACATCTGCAAACGCACTTGTTTTCCCATCCAACTAATAAATGCACTTGGGCCTATCTGTATCATGAGGAAGTGTGGATTTCAGAAACAGACACAAACTGTGTTGTCTGTGCCGCAGAGAGGATAACTCAGCCCAAGCACTGTTGCTTGGTTACGTCATTGCTTTTTTCTCATGTCACCCCAGTTTTCAATGCTCTGCACCACAATGTTTGCGCCATGCTTTTCATACTTTGCTTTCCTTTCTGTGTTGTCTGTTTTAAGCCAGTCACAATGTTTATAGTTGGATGCCCAATAGCAGAGTGGCGCAGCGGAAGCGTGCTGGGCCCATAACCCAGAGGTCGATGGATCAAAACCATCCTCTGCTAAAGGATTCCTTATCCTTCATCAACTTGCATGTTCACTACTATGTCTACCTGGGCCCATAACCCAGAGGTCGATGGATCAAAACCATCCTCTGCTATCATTGCTTTACCAGCAGCTGATTTCAACCTTATAGGGTTGATGAAACCTGTCATGGAGGGTTTAAAGAAATCTGTTTTTCTCAGTTTCTTTTTAACAATACACACAAGACCCATCAAGTGCCATAGGATTTCTGGACCTGCCTACAATTGGTCTGATATTGTGTAGTCTGACCCCAACATTACCTAAAGAATTAGCACCTACATAAACCATGATTGAAACTGCAAAAACACTCGACCTTTCAATTCCCTGGATGCCTATAGCACCTTTGTTACACTCTTTCTGCCAGTTAACAGCCATCCAGGGACAAGAATTAACAGCCATGTGTTTCAAAGTCCACCCCACAATTGTTAACACACACTTTTCATTTATAAACAGTACTTAGAGCTGTGAAGCCCCAGTGGCCCAATGCAGTCCTACCTGTACTGACTTTCAGCAGAGTGGCGCAGTGGGACCATGCAGGGCCCATAACCCAGAGGCTGATGGATTGAAACCATTCTCCAGTATCTATTCTTTAGGGGATTTAAAAACTATTTTAACCTCCACTTTACTGAAAGTAATAACACTGCTGGACATAAAGTGGTGCTTGTAGTGCAGAGCAGCACAGAGGGAGAAAACCTCCGGAGATGTGACTGGAAGCTGTTGTCTTAGTGATATAGAATGGGTCGGGAGGAAAAGCTATATTTGAATATTCGGCCTGCACCTAAACCAACCTACTCTGCTAATTACAGTGTTTGGAACGTGACATGTTGGGGGGCCATCCCTGTGTATAGAGATCTCCAGAGTATCTTCTTTTAATAACAGATCGTTTGAATCATAATCAGAAACACTAACATAAAACAACACACAGAGGCAAATACCTGTGGCACCACCTTGATAAGAATCTCACAGGTCATAACTGCAGTGTTGTTGAGAAAATCTGAACGTTTTTCCACCCTCTAAAAAGCTAAAGAGCAGATCTCTGACCTGGTGATTAATGAGAAGAGTCAGTTTTATTAGGACCAGAAGTTTGGTGAACGAAAGTTTCAGCACTCAGTAGCTGAAGGATCTTTCAAAGAAAAACAACAATGAAGGCTGGTGATTTCCCTTTATAAGTATAGAATAATATGTGCATCACTACTGAAGTTTGTAAGAATACTAAGTGACAGGAGCCCATCAGCCAATATTTTAGGGCTTCCAGTGTAGACAGTGGATGTGTGGGCCAAATCTCTGCTGTCTTATGCTCACTGTACTTTTTACAGTCATACTAGTTTCTTTAATCACTCGTCGGACGTTTCTCTACACAAAACACAAACACCGCATTTTGGCTAATCTCTATTCACAGCTATCTACGTAAGAATGCAGATACTTTAAACAGCTGATAGCCAATGCCATCTTTTTCAGTCAACGCGTTCTACCTCATTTGCTCTCCACATGGACCTGCAGGCAACCAAAGCCTGTCCAAACGTGATTGGTCAAACTCGACACGAAAACTAGAAGGCTTCTGGCCACAGACTCTTTTCCCTCAGCTGCAGATTCTGCATATTCACATGCAAAATCAGCTTATAGAGACTACCAACAGTGTAGCAGTAGTTCACAGCTTAATGCAGAAAATTAGAGTCATACATCTGCAGATGGACTGATGAGTAAGACAGAGGCTAAACACCCTAATTCACTCAAAAAACCCATCAGAGTTACGCCTACATAGACGTGCTCTCACACACACACACACACACA